CACCGAAGTGGGTGCACAGCAGTAGATCGGGATCGATGACAACATGGCAGCAGCAGCTATCTGCACACCAGTCAGCTGCACCATAGTCTGCATCACCAGTTTCCCGGAACCCTGGGTGTGCATGCTCTCGCGCCCGGCTGCGTTGCGACCCACTCGCGCACAGGGTGACGACAGTTTTGCGCCGGTATCGACGATTCTTTGAAGCACACGTGCAATCTGCGGCGAGAGTACGGTACACTGCTGTGCACCTCACGGCTGTTTGTGTGCAACAACCCCTCCGCAAGCCTGCAGCAACTTCTCGAGTTTTGCGATTGGCATCCATGCGCTACTGTTGTGTCAGAGAAAGAGCCATCCCCCGCTCTCTCTCGGTTTCTCCCCCCGCATCGCATCGCCAAAATCAAGCGTGGAAAACCATGGGGGGCGGGGCAGAGCGGGTGTTGGGCGGCCGGGGGGCACCTCTCGCTTTTGTAACGGTTTCGACAGGAGGAACGGAGTCGCACACAACCCGCCTTCCCCGAAGTCGACAGGGTGATGGGCCACTCTGGTGCAGCGTCGAAGGCTCGGCATGCGAAAAACGTAAAAAGTTGAGAACACTCGCCCGGCCACGAGCAGCAGCCACAACGTCCTCCCGCCGGGCCGCCCGTAGCAGCTGCAATTATTCTACCCTCACAGTACGTGTTGTCCATCGTTGTTTGGGCATCGGGGCGTGGGTGGGTGCTATCGGGGCACAGCCACCCACGCAACAACAACAGTGTTTGCGATTGAGCGTGTGTACGGAAACGATGCTGGGCGATGACCCCTACCCTGCTGTTCTCTTAACATTTTTTTCCCATTCAGATGGCGGGACCTTTGCGATGGACTGGCGAAATCGAGATCGCGACCAGCCGGACCTCCCCGCCGATGCCCCGACGCTGCTGGTCATCCACGGGCTCAACGGCCACAGTGAAGAAGCGTGTGTGCTCTATTCCATGGTGTGTGCCTTTGCGTGTGTGTGCTTCCCCTCTTTCGCCTGCAGAGAAAACAATGAACATAACAACCGTCGTATTACGTTTGTCCACTTCGCACCTGTTTATGGTAAGCTCCTTCCGCTGCTTCGTCCTAGCTCTGTAGGTGTGAGGGGGTCTGCGGTCTGGGGAATACGGCCATGTATGATCCCCCCCGTTTCCTCGTGTGTACGTGTGGAACACATGTGGCGGAACCGTAAAGATCCCTCGGTTCGTTGTTGGCAGTGCCCCTTCTAGGGGATGGTCCGTGTCGAGAGTAGAGCCTAGTTCATGGCCTATTTCCTGGGACCAACAACGTCTGTAGACCCCCCCTGCGTGTCGTGTGTGGGTACAAACACCCCAACCCCAACACGCTCTTGACAGGAAAACGCTCACAAGAGGGGCTGGAGGGCGGTGGCAATGAACCACCGAGGTTGCGGCGGCACCCGCCTAACGTCCGGCTGGACATACAACGGAGCCTTCACCGGGGACGTTAGGCTGGCCGTCAGTCACGTGAGAAATAGGTAAGGGAGGGGAGGGGAGGGG